TGAAGGTGCAGCGCTTTGCCCGGGCGCCCCCAAAGCTCCCCGTTGCTCCTGGGGGGTGGTGGCGGTGGAGGGGGGAAGGCAGGGCGACTGTCACCGTATCTGCGTCCCCTTGCCCATAGTCCTTCCTGGGTGTCTTCCGCTCGCTGCCCTCGCTGGAGAAGACGGTGGGGAAATGCCTCATCCTGCTCAAACCCCAGGCCAGCCGCCTGGTCGTGCAGCTCCACTGCAAGTATGGTGAGTGCCGGTAGGGACGGGGTTGTGGTGACACACAGTGGCACTGCCGTCCTGTCCCGCTGAGCTGGAGCCCTCCCTGCCAGGCGTCACCAAGACCCACAACCTGGCTTTCCAGGAGTGCGAGCGGCTGCAGGCCGTCTTCGCACCCCAACGCTGCGCCAGCACCCTCTGCGCCCCGGCACGGTGAGCAGGGCTGGCAGTGACGCAGGGGGGACGCCACCGGGGGGGTGGCAGTGGGTAGAGGCTGGGGTGACAAAGGGATACGCGGGTGGCACTGGCATGGGCGGGGGGGGGTACAAACGGAACACTGGGGTGGCACTGGGATGGGCAGGGGGCTGCAGAAAGGGATGAGGGACCGGTGACAAAGGGATCCGCGGGTGGCATTGGCATGGGCGGGGGGGGGTACAAACGGAACACTGGGGTGGCACTGGGATGGGCAGGGGGCTGCAGAAAGGGATGAGGGACCCCTGTTGGCCCTGCGGGGTTTGGGGCGCTTAGCCCCAAGTGTGCGTGTGTCCCCTCCATGTGCCCACAGGGTGTTGGCAGAGGCTGTGGTCCACTTCCCCCAGACGCTGGCTGAGGTGACGCTGGGAGCTGGCCCCGGCGGCAAGATCAGCCTTCGAAACTACGTGGAGGAAGAGGCGGGTGAGCCCTGCGGGGTGGGGGTGCCCCTTCCTCGGCCTTGGGGTGCTGGCACAGCCCCCTGACCCAACTCCTTCCCCCCCCTGCCCCTAACCAGAGCGGAGCAAGACAATGGTGACGGAGCTGTGTCTGGCCGAGGATGAGTTCCAGACGGTGGCCGTGGCCCCGGGCTCCCGCATCACCTTCTGCCTCAAGGAGTTTCGGGTGAGTCCCTGCCTGGGCCCCCCACCCCAGCCACGGGTCACCCCTCAGCCCCCCTCACCCTCCTCTTTGTCCCCAGGGGCTGCTGACCTTCGCCGAGGCCTCCAACCTGCCCCTCACCATCCACTACGACGCACCCGGCAGGTAGGAGCAGGCGCCCTGACCCCCCTGTGCTAGTTCTGTCTCCTGCCCACCCTCCTCAGGCCCTCTGTGCCCCCAGGCCGGTGGTCTTCACCCTGGATGACGCCGTGCTCGAGGTCCACCTGGTGCTGGCCACCCTCTCAGACACAGAAAGCAACTCGCAGCCCCCCACAGCCAACGGGTAAGCGGGGCTTATGTCACCCTCAGGGAGGCTCCCAGTCCCAGCTCAGCCCTCCAGCTGCCATCAGTAGGGACCAGAGTGAACGGTCCCCCCTCTGCCCCTCTTCCTTGCTCTCTCCCCAACAGCGTGTCCCACCTGCCCGCCCCATCAGACGAATTTGCCGATGACCTCGAGTCCTACATGATTGCCATGGAAACCAGCGCCTACGAGGAGGGCTCAGGGGTGCCCCCCAGCCCCACCTTCCCCCTGAGCACCCCACGTCCAGCCGAAAGGGACCCCGAGGATGAGGAGGAGGAGGAGGAGGAGGAAGAAGAAGCTGTGCCGGGGACACCCCCTCACAAGAAGGTCTGAGATGGGCACGAGTGTGCCTGGGTGCAGGGGGACAGGCACAGCCCTCTCCTGACCCCCGCCTCTCCCCACAGTTTCGCTCCCTGTTTTTCGGCTCGGTGCTGACACCGGGAGGACCCAGCCTGGCCCCCACCCAGGAGGTGCTGGCAGAGGACAGCGATGGCGACTACTAAGAGCCCTGAGGGCACAGAGCTGCTGGCACCCCACCCCTGCGTGACCCCCCGAAGAGTCCAGTCACCAGGACGGGCACCACCTTGACCCACCATCAGCCCCCAAACACAGGCAACCCCCCACAACCCATTACAAGTTTATTCCCAAAAACTCCTCCTGCCTCCCCCCTCCACTGCCATCTCAGGGCTGGGCTCTGGGCTCCCCCCTCGCCCCAGCGGTCCCTGCCCTGGGGCTGGATTTGGTTTGGTGGAGCGTGGAGGGGGGGGCAGGATCTTACAAATAAAAAAACGAGTCGAAAGAAAAGCGACCTGATGCTGAGGGCAGGGGGCCGGGCCCCAGCCGAGGGGGGTTGCTCGTGGCTC